GTGCCCTCCGCCCCCTGCTATTCTTCTGAGGTTTCATGGAATGTAGTCTAAAAACACTGCTCCTGAAATTAGTTGGCCTTAAGTGGTATATTAAATTCTGAGTATTATGTCATTAAATAATCCTTCTATTCCATATGCATAAAAATACAATAAGAAGTATTTGTTTCTTTTGGGAAGCCTCTAGGATTCACACAATTTTATTAAAACAGTGAAATTCTATACAACTCCATGATAACTTTGTTCCTCATGTTCCTTTTCAAAAGTGTATAAATTCTAAATAGCACATCCTTGAAGAAATGACGAAGGTCCCATGGTCTGAGAACCAGTTTTTGGAATCAGAAATGATTAAGATAGGGGCGCCTAGGTGGCTTAGTCAGTTAAGCGTCCGACTTCAGCTCGGTCATGATCTCCAGTTCATGAGTTCGAGCCCTGTGTTGGGCTCTGTGCTGACAGCTCAGATTCTGTGTCTCCCTGTCTCTCTGCCCCTTCGCTGCTCGTGCTCTGTCTCTCAAAAATGTATAAACATTAAAAAAAAATGATTAATATATGGAGCCTTGAATAAATGATGCAGACCGTCATAATACTTAAATTACATTTGCTCCAGATGGGCTGAATCCAAAAGTTTACCTTTTAAATTTTCATTATTTAAGAAATAGTTTGAGGAGTTTTCCAAAATGAAAGTCTTTGGTAAAGTAACAACAACAAAGCCTATCTGCAGCCCTCGCTATCTCCCTAGGCTGTCAGTAGGGGAGGGCTGAATAATTTGTGACGCTTTCAAATCAAAATTCTGGGCTTGGGTGAAAAATGTCTAATTTGAATACTGTTGTAATAAAAAGTGATATTTGTTGCTACAGCCTAGAGGAAGTCCAGAGTGCCCTTCAGAACAAAGAAATGGACTGCCTTAGAATGGCTGAGGAAGTTGAACGGACCAGAACTTTGGAATCCAAAGCATTCCAAGAAAAGGAACAACTGAGATCAAAGCTGGAAGAGTTGTACGAAGAAAAGGAGAGAATATTCCAGGTGCATTTGTGCGTTGGTTTTTCGCATATAGTTAGGACGCGTGTAGGACCACACGTCCTGTGGTTCAGAGCCACTCTAGCACACGTGGAGATGTCTGGTCATGAAACCTGGGAACCCGGGCCCTCTAACGCCCTGTGCTCTTGGAAGGCATGAAATAATGTTGTTGTAAGAGAAAAATTAAGAGCGGTTCATTTTCCCCTCCCTGGATTGATCTGCCTGCAGGAGATGGAAATGTTAAGGAAGCAGGTGGAGAGTCTTGCTGAGGAAAATGGAAAGCTGGTAGGTCACCAGAACCTCCATCAGAAGATTCAGTACGTGGTGCGGCTGAAGAAGGAGAATGTCAGGCTCGCCGAGGTAAGCTCTGGAAATTATTCTAAAGAAACTCAGTCAGGTTTTAGAATGAGTGTGTAATTAAAGTTTAATCATTGAATCACTTAACTGTTTTTTGCGGGGGAACTTAGAATCAAAAAAAAGAAAAAGTCAGTCATTTTCATTTCCAAGCATCATTCAATCCATTATCATACTCTTACACATCAGCTTCTCGTTTAACATTTAGTAGTTTACAAATTGAAAATTGTCATCTTAATTTGACATATAAACTTAATGAATGCAAAGAATATCTTCCTGTAAGCCTTAGAGCCTGAATTTTTTTTTTCCTTTTCCTTTTTTAAAAAATATGTTCCCTAGGAGACCGAAAAGTTGCGTGCTGAAAATGTATTTTTAAAAGAAAAGAAAAGAAATGAATCGTAAGGATCTCGGTCAACTACGTAGGCATCACCTCTTGGGAGACTTTTTCTTCTTGCAAAAGTAAGACCTACACTTGTGCATTTAACAGAGCCGAATTAAGGAGCATGATTCCTGAGTGTGGGGCAGCAGGGCTGACATTCAAGTTCTGCATCCACACGCACCCTGTGGCAGTGGGCTTAGAAGTTACCACCCCATTTCAGAGCTTTAAATCGACTGTAAATACTGGGAAAACCTTTTGCATTTTTAAAATAAAAACCTGTAGCTAAGGTTTGCAGTGGGTGTTGGCCAGGTCATTTCTTCCTTAGATGCTATCATACTCTCCTCGGAGGCCTGTAGCAGAAGCTCTTAACAATATGTGGTGGTTTCAGGACTTGCCATGAGGTTCATGTTCGCGTAGCATGTATGAAAGGCAAACTTGTTTAATATAGGTTATTTTGTATTCCTACTTTATTCTCATGAGCATTTTTTTATGACTGTAAATATGGCCAGTTTTCAAAATGTAATAAAATCCCTTAAACACAGTTTCGTAAAGTGATTTACATTGTTCACTTAGGAAAGCTGAATTAAAGGCTTGTTCGTTCAACTTGTACTTAATGAGCGTCCGTCTTCCGCCTGGCACTGGTTGTCAGTGAACACAGCAAACAAAGCCTGCTGTCCCCCAGGAACTTCTGTGTGTTAGCACTTCATTCCTTTTTGTTGTGAATATCTCATTGAAAGGATAGGCCACATTGTATTTACTCACCATTTGATGAACATCTGAGCCGTTGGCAGTTTGGGGCTACCCTGAATAATGTGGCTATAAATATTTGTATAGAAGTCTAGGTGGTGACTTATGTTTCCTATTTGTTGAGTAGACACCTAGGAGTGGAATTGCCGCTAAGTTTGTGTTTAGCTTTTTAAGACGCCAGTTTACTTTTCCAGATGTGCTATTTGGTTGCACCATCTATGTTCCCACCAGCAGGGCGTTCAGTTTCTCCATGTCTTCAGCCCTTGTTCTGGTCAGGTTTCTTACTGTAGCCATCCCGGTGGGGTGCAGTGGCTCATCATGGAAACGTTCTCCTAATGACTAATGATACTAAGCATTTGTTACATAGAACACGATACTCAGCAATAAAAAAGAGGCAAACTGACAAATGCCACAACATAAGGAACCTCAAAAAGTGAAAGAAGACAAACCCAAAAGATCGAATACTGTATGATTCCATTTATGGGAAAGGTCCAGAAAAGGCAACATTATAGAGATAGAAGGCAAACCCGCGGTTGCTGTTGGCTGGGGATGGGAGCAGGTGACCGTATGGGCAGGAGGAAACTTTTTGATAGGGGGGAAATGATTTGGTTTGTTGTGATGATTGCATAGCTCTGTAAGTTTACTAAAAATTAAACTATATTCAAAATGGCTTCATTTTATGGTTTGTAGATTATACCTCAATAAAGCCAAGGAAAAACAATTTAAAAAATTAATGCTTAGGGGCGCCTGGGTGGTTAAGCGTCTGACTTCAGCTCGGGTCATGATCTCACAGTCCGTGGGTTCGAGCCCCGTGTCGGGCTCTGTGCTGACAACTCAGAGCCTGGAGCCTGCTTCGGATTCTGTGTCTCCCTCTCTCCTTGCCCCGCCCCTGCTCATGCTCTGTCTCTCTCTGTCTCAAAAATAAATAAAAACATTAAAAAAAAATTAGTGCCTAGTTGAATTCTCAAGGAGTAATAGTAAATCCTTGAGAGCCAGAAACAGAAAAGGAATTAAAATTCATGCAGGGGGCACCTGGCGGGCTCGGCTGATGGAGGATGCAACTCTTGGCCTTGGGGCTGTGAGTTCAAGCCCCACGCTGGGTGAAGAGATTACTTAAAAATAAAATCTGAATAATAAAATTCTGTGTAAGGTAGAGAGTAGAAACAGAACGCCCTGAAGGTGGAGAAGGGTTGGAATATTGAAGCTGGTACTAAAGAGGCTTGGGTCTCAACTCACTCACCTATAGGAATGTCTGGGGGCTACTAGAACAAATTACCACAAAAGGCGGGGGGGTGCTGAAAACAAATTGATTCATAATTTCTGGAGGCTAGAAGTCCCAAAATCAAGGTGTGGCAAGGCCATTCTCTCTTAGGGAGCATCTGTTCCATGCCTTTCTCTTAGCTCGCGGTATTGACAGCAGCCCCTGACATTCCTTGGCTAGTAGATGCATCACTCCAATCTGCCTCCCTTATCACATGGTGTTCTCCCTGTGACTCTGTCTCTTATAAGGACACCAGTGAAATTAGGGCTCATGCTAATGACTTCTTAATTTGTCTACATCTTCAATGGGTTCCATTTCCAGCAAAGGTCACATTCACAGGTGTGGAGGATTAAGACTTAAACGTATCTTTTTGGGGTGGGGAGGGGGACACAATTCAGCCTATAAATAGCAGTTATCAGGATTATCTTTGCCTTAATTTGAGCCACAAAACAAACCCCCCTGTGAGAGAGGGGGGCAAGGAAGGACTTCATGAAAAACTTTCTGAATGGAAAAAAAATACTACTGAACAGTTCAGTGTGAAATCATACTAAATAAAAAAGGCTCATACAGATTACATAAACTATTTTTAACATGTGCTATATATAAAACTATGAATAGAAAGTACTCTAATAATATTTAAACATTTAAGTGCATAGGAAATTAGAAGTAATGTTAATCCTGGTTATCTGACTGGAGTGAATATGGATGATTTACTCTATATTCAAAATCCATCTGCGCCTTTTGATTTCTCAGAAAACCCTAACCCGAGCTCGCCTTCTTCCTGAGTCGTGGAGATCTCTAGCGCCCTCTGCTGAGGAGTCTTTCCACTTTGCGCCTCAATCTGGAAGGTGCAGGTCAATCTCCTGGGGCTCCTGTTGAAATGCAGATTCTGATTCAATGGCAGTTGGGCGGGGCCTGGATTGGGCATTTTTGTTTAACAAATTCCCAGGGAAAGCCGAAGCTGGGCAACACTCTGGCAAGGATTGAAACTGCCGGGTCATGGATAGTTAATTCTATAACAGCAACCACACAATACCGCCGGGGCTTCAGACGCCAGGCCCGGACAGCTCCCGGGTTAACCTAAACTTAACGCCAGAGGCTGGCTGCCCTCCACCCCACCCAGGCTCCCTAGTCTCCGCCCCGCCCCGGTCCCCGACCCCGCCCCTGCCCTGCCCCTCTGAGACCCTCCCCGCGCCCTAGTTGGCTGCCCTGATCACGTGAGCGTCGCGTCACGTGAGGCCACCGCCCAATGGCGGCGCGCGCTCGGTCCTGCCGGTGGCTGGTGCCCCAGGAGCCGGGAGAGGTGGCAGCGGGCACCATGGCCGAGAGGCTACAGTCCCCAGGCGGCGCCGTGTGCCCAGCCTCCTACCCCGACGCCCCCGCGGAGTTCCCCCCGCACCTCCAGGCCGGCGCGATGCGGCGCCGCTTCTGGGGCGTGTTCAACTGCCTGTGCGCCGGCGCGTTTGGGGCGCTGGCCGCCGCCTCCGCCAAGCTGGCCTTCGGCAGCGAGGTCGAGCCCGGGGCGCCGCTGCGGCAGGCGGGCGGGTGGGTCCGGGCGGATGGGGGGCGCTGGGGGGGCGGGGTCTGTTCGCCGGGTCAGCTGCCGAGCGCTGCAGTCAGCTGGGGCGGGGGAGCATCCTTCTATTCTAAATCACCTCAAATCCTCGTCCCGTGTAGGCGGTAAGAGACCGGAGCCTCTTCCCTACCAGGGACCTAAACTTTTCCCCCCGACTGGGTTAGTTCGCTTTCCTGCATCCACTCTCTACCTCTCATTTTAAGCCCCTTATGCCTGGACGTTTCTCTCCTCGTAACTCAAGGTGAGAAGCCTGTTGCCCATCTTTACTCCGTAATTAACGGGTGTTTTGACCAGTATATACCCTGCTGCCCGGAAAATTGGGAGTTTGGGACACCTAGACATGAGAGGACAGAGAAACATTTTGGACATTCCCATCCCTGATGCGGAGAACTCCTAAACTGCCTCTCCACGCCTACTGAAATGTATCTCTGCCCCTCCCATCCCAAGTCACAGGCTTTCCTCTGCTGCTGGAGGGGTTTCATCGCATCTGCAACCTAGGGTTAGGTCCTTACCTGGACAGCCTACAGACTGATTCTTGGGGGTGGGGGGTGGGGATCAGGGGGCCGGTAAGCCTGTTTAGGGCCAATCCAGTGGGAACCACTATGCTTGAAGTTAGTGTTCTGTTGGGTGTAATTCTTGAAGGGATGCAAAGTTAGATGAGTGACTGTGAACCATGAGGTTTTCTAGTCTTTTTAGTTGTGCACCAGGCCTTAGTGACTATATAAGCAGACTGCCACTGGCACAAAGAGTGCTTTTGTGAAAATTATACAAAGACACCCTTTCCTTAAGACACTCTTTTTTCAGCAGCTGGAAAACTGTTGTAAGAAATAAGAGCCTGAAATTTGGATGGCCACCCCCAGAGGAAGCAGCTCTGTTTGCAGGAAGGTTTCTGACTCAAAATGAAGCAAGGGTGTCTTGCATATTCTTTGTGTAGGAGGCTTAATTTAAGATCCTCTCCTCCAGGCTCTCGCCTTTAAAAAAAAAAAAAGGGGGGGGGAAAGGAAAAGAAAAAAAGGCCGCGGATTCTCCCAGTGATGTCTGGGATCAGTAGTCAAGTCGGTGGTGGCTTCCCTTCCCACAGCAGGGCTGTGTCCTGATTAAGAGCATGGAGCCACACTGCCTGAATTTGAATCCTGGTGACTACCACCAGCCTTTGGCTCTTTAGGCAGGTTATGTAATGCCTTAGGTTCTTTATCTGTAAAGTAAAGGTAAGGACTAAATGAGAATGCACTTGAAATGCTTGGCACAGGGCCTGGCACAGAGTGAAAAAAAAGCTCGAGGATGCCCAGCGGGACTGGCCTGAGTGTCCTGTAGCCTGCATGGGCTAATTCATGCCTTACCTGATCCCAGGAAGTGAGGACTCTGCCCCTGGTTTACTCATACGACATACTGACTGGTAACTGCTTGGCTGTCTCACACTGATCTTTTAGCACCAACAAGTGACTGGTGTTCCAGAGAAATTACTGGTTATGGCTTAGCAGTTTACTCTTCCCAAGGACACATGGCCGGCAAGATGGCTGAAGAAGTCTCCTCGGGGTTTATTTCAGCTATAAAACGGGTGTGCTGAGCACAGTGTTAAGTGAAGTCTTATGCAGGAAAGCTCAGGAACGGCCCACCCAGGCTCTGGTGGCATCTCAGTAGGGGTCCAGCTGCCCATCAGTGCCCTGGGTATGCTGGGAGGAAGGCTGAGGGTCTGCCTTGGCCAAGCGCGGCTGCAGTGACACTCTCTCCCGCAGGTGAACATGGTCTTCTGCATCTTAGGCATTATTGTGATGGCCACTACCAATTCTCTCATGTGGACGTTCTTTAGCCGGGGCCTCAGTTTCTCCATGTCTTCGGCCATTGCATCTGTCACGGTGACTTTTTCAAACATCCTCAGCTCGGTGAGTAGCCTGAGGGTACAGTCAGTACCCCTGTCCCAAACCTGGGTTCTGGGAGGGTCCTGGGTGAGTTGGGGAACCCACCCTCCCAGATAGGAGGAAAGACAAGAGCTGAAGCAGAGATTGGGCTGTGGCTTGAGCCCTGGTGGCTGCTCCTCTGATCTCGAACTTGGTAGAATCCTCAAGTGTTAGCTGGGAGTGAAGGCCAAGTGTAAAAAAAAAAAAAAAAAAGCCCACCTGCCTGCTGCCCCTTCAGGCTGCAGCCCTCATGCTGATGTCTCTGTAACCTCTGTGCAAGCTGTCTCCTAGGGGTCTGTAAACTTGAGCGTGAGACGTGGAGGGTGGACGCTCTTTCCTCCGACAGCCTGATGTCAACCAGGTGGGGCTGAGCCCAGTCAGTCCTGCCGTCGAGGGAGGGAGGACGTGGCAGGCCTGTTTGGATCAGCAAACACCAGGCACCGGCTGTGTGCTGGGCCTTCGCTGCTGGCCTCTGCGAATCTTTCTTGCGCACTTTGCTCGGGGCCAATGCTGCAAGGAAGGTACACTCCCCCCACCTCTCCGGGCGAGCCAGAAATGGATAGTGCCTTGTGGAAAGTGACAGCTGGGTTTCAGGCTCCAGACCTTTCCTCCTGCCCCAGGAGGGAAGTCAGGCACGGGGGGAGTGAGGTTGTGCCTGCCCGCCATGGTCAAGTCCTGCGGGCACGTGTCTACTTGGCCTCACAGCGGTCTCTGTCCCACAGGCCTTCCTGGGCTTTGTGTTGTATGGAGAGTGCCAGGAGGTCTTGTGGTGGGGAGGTGTGTTCCTCATCCTGTGCGGACTCAGCCTGATCCACAGGAAGCTGCCACCAAGCGGGAAGGCCCCTCCACACAAGCAACAGTGACCTCGGTTGACTGGACGGACCGGCTGGAGAGACAACGTGGCGGCCCGAGGAACGGGCTGGCGTGTGGGGGGACCACTTCCCAGGGTGATCTGGGCGTGCAGCCATCTGAGCATCAGCCAGAGGAAGGCGCCCCCAAGGGAAACAGGCCTCTGACCTAGCAGCCTGGAGTGTGGCCAGCCGGAGCTTCTGGATCAGGAAGGACATCCATAGCTGTGTTCTGCCCGGAGCCCTGATGACACCTGCACAGTGCTTTTGATTCTCACGCTCCTGGGCCCACCCAGTGCCCCTTGGCAGACGCTGGAGACCCCGGGGTTGGTCTGCTTGGTGTAGGGACTTGAGACCACGCTGTAATCGTAGTCCTGTCGCGTCGCATTGGAATCCGTTGCTGGTGGAGCTTTCTGACGGCTTCACGCCGATGTATCAGGACATCTGTGTGGCCCTTCTGCAGTACGGCAAGGGAAGGGAAACTGGATTAATAAACACTTGTTTTTGTCAGTCAAAGGGAGCAGGTGTGAAATCTTTATTCTTTCCTGCCATCCCCCCCCCCCCTTTCCTAATTTTTTGGAGTGCGAGGGAGCAGCCTAGGTGAGCTGCAGTTCTTGGAATGGAGTTAAGAGCTGCCCCCGCCTCCCGCCCCCCGGGCCTGGGGCCCATGCGCTCTACTGTCTGTGAGCTGGAGCACACGGTTCCTTCCTGATGTCACCCAGGCTGGTGCCCTTCACGTTCAGGAGGGTCTGTCCATTTTCTTGGTACACAAGGAGGAAAACTTGACCTTCCTCTGGGGACCTAGTTTTATTTTACTTGTTGGGAAAGGAAACTGGCCCAGATGCTGCTCCCACACCCCCATTTCCCCTTTAGGCCCTATCTGTCCTTTGGTTTTCTTTCCCAGATCCCTGTGACTTGTTTGTTTCTTACACAGTGTGTAATTCCTAGTTCAGCACGGCCTGTGTGCTGCCTCACCTTCTCTTGTGCATAGCTTCACGTGCAATGCTCACCTCCAGTTCTCTGGGGGGCTCCCCTGGTGTCCTAGCACCCCCTTCAGCTCTCCTGAGGCTGACCACCTCCACGTCTTCTTCAGACATTCCCTGCAGTGGAGAGGGACTTGGTGGTGGGCGGGGGACGAGGCTGTCCCCTCCTTCCTGCCCGCATAGCACCCTCACTGCCCTCCTCTATTGCTCATTGCACAGGTGACAGATGTGCTTCCTAACACTGTTTTGTGGCTCCTACTGAGTGGGATCTGGCATTAGCCCACCTCTCCAGTTCTCTCTCAGTGCCTCCTTAGTACCCCTGCACCTACCCTGTTTGAGTTGCCCCAAATATTTGCATCTCAACAGTTCTCGAGTCCACCGTGTCCAGCCCCGCTTCCATGCTTGGTGTTTTGCAGGAATAGGAAAGCCCATCCTAAAATTCGTATCAACCCTCAAGAGACCCCCGACTCCAAACAGTCTTCAGAAAGGACAGCAGGATTGGAGGACTTACACATCCCTGATTCCACAACTTACAGCAAAGCTGCATAATGAAAACGGGATAGTGACTGGCATACAGACAGGAACCAAGGATACAGAATAGAGAACCCAGAAATAAGCCATTTGAGAAGACTTGACATTGAATGTCAAGACCGTTCAATGGGAAAAGGCAGCCTCTTCCACAACCGGTGCTGGGAAAACTGGATCTCTGTGTGCAAAAGAGTGAACTCGTGGACCCTTCCTTGTCACCAGGCGAAGGACTTGAACAGGCATTTCTCCAAAGGAGATCTACAAATGGCCAAGAGGCCCGTGAAAGACGCTCAGCATCATGAGTCACTAGGGAACTGCAAATCTAAACCACAGTGAGATACCACCTCGTGCCCATTAGGATGGCTACCACAAAACCAAAAATGAAACAAGCAAAACAGAAAATGACCAGCATCGGTGAGAGTGGAGAAATTGGAGCCCTTGTGCGTTGTTGGTGGGAATGTAATATGGTAACAGCCACCATATTGGCAGTTCCCCAAAAAGCTGAACAATTGTGTGAGTCCAGGTCTAGAGAGATACCCCAAAGCACTGAAAGCAGAGACTCAAACAGCTACTTGTATACCAATGTTCATAGCAACACTAACAGTAATCAGAAGGTGGAAACAATTCAAATGTCCCAGCAGCAGAAGGATGGACAAACAAAATACGGTGTATACATACAACAGGTTATTCAGCCTTAAAAACGAACAAAGATCGGGGCACCTGGGTGGCTCCGTCAGTTAAGCGTCCAACTTCTGCTCAGGTCACGATCTCGCGGTTCGTGGGTTCAAGCCCTACCTCGGGCTCTGTGCTGACAGCTCAGAGCCTGGAGCCTGCTTCCGATTCTGTGTCTCCCCCCCCTCTCTGCCCCTCCCCTGCTCATGCTCTGTCTCTCTCAAAAATAAATAAAAACATTAAAAAGAAAAAAAAGGAATGAAGATTTAACACAGGGGCTACAGCGAAGATGAACCTTGGAAACATTTTGCTAAGTTAAATAAGCCAGACGCAAAATGACAAATATTGTATGATCCCACTTATGTGAGGCATCTAGAACAGGCAAATTCATAGAGGCAGGAAGTACAGGGGGCTGCTCAAGGACTGGGAGGAGGGAGGGTGGGGAGTTAGTGTTTAATGGGGACAGAGCTTCTGTTCAAAAAAGTTATGGAGACGGATGGTAGTGATTGTTGCACAACATTGTGGATGTACTTAATGCCACTGAATTGTAACTTAAAACTGGCAAATGTTACATTAATGTGTATCTGTCCACAATTGAAAAAACAGGGCAAAACAGAAAGGAGGGAATGGTAGGAGGAGGAATTAGAGACAGCTAGTGGTGAAGGCTCATTCAACAAGTTTTTCTACAAAGGGGCAGTAGATGGCAGGGAAGATGGGGACAAAAGAGGGAGGGTTGTTTGGTTTTATTTTTGGTTGTGAGAGGAGAAATAGCATATTTAGGTAGGCTAATGGCAGTGATCTATCAGTGAGAAGACTGAAGGTGCAGGGAAGGAGCTGTTTAAAAAAATTTTTTTTTAGTATTTATTGTGGAGAGAGACAGAGACAGAGCTTGAGTCGGGGAGGGGCAGAGCGAGAGGGAGACACAGAATCCGAAGCAGTCTCTGGGCTCCAAGCTGTCAGCACAGAGCTCGATGTGGGGTTCAAACCCACATACAGTGAGATCATGACCTGAGCCAAAGTCAGATGCGCATCCGACTGAGCCACCTAGGCACCCCAGGAAGGGGAGCTGTTTAAAGAACAGTGGGCCGGGGCGCCTGGGTGGCGCAGTCGGTTGAGCGTCCGACTTCAGCCAGGTCACGATCTCGCAGTCCGTGAGTTCGAGCCCCGCGTCGGGCTCTGGGCTGATGGCTCAGAGCCTGGAGCCTGTTTCCGATTCTGTGTCTCCCTCTCTCTCTGCCCCTCCCCCATTCATGCTCTGTCTCTCTCTGTCCCAAATAAATAAATAAACGTTGAAAAAAAAAAAAAAAAGAACAGTGAGCCTAGGGGCACCTGGGTGGCTCATTTGGTTAAGCATCCAGCTCTTGATTTTAGCTGAGGTCATGATCTCATGGTTCGTGAGTTTGAGCCCCACATTGGGCTCTGCACTAACCATGGAGCCTGCTTGGGATTCTCCCTGTCTCTCTCTCTCTCTGTCTCTCTCTCTCTGCCCTTCCCCCACTCACACTGTCTCTCCCTCCCTCTTTCTCTCTCTCTCTCTCTCTCTCTCAAAATAAATAAAAGAATCCTAAAATTAAAAAAAAAAAAAGAAAGAGCACTGAGCCCAAGCTGGAGCTGGTGAGCTGGGGTCCGATGCACAAGTGAGGGTTGGCTTAGCAAGGAATGCGGACATCTCACTGCAGAGGTCAGGAATGGCCGTCCGCAGGCAGAGAGCCAGGTAGGTGGCTGGACGTGGTTGGAAGGGGCTCGTAGAAGTTCTTTTCTCAAAGTTCCCCAAACTTTAAGTCATTAAGAAAAAGACAGGACAGGGGCGCCTGGGTGGCGCAGTCGGTTAAGCGTCCGACTTCAGCCAGGTCACGATCTCACGGTCTGTGAGTTCGAGCCCCTCGTCAGGCTCTGGGCTGATGGCTCGGAGCCTGGAGCCTGTTTCCGATTCTGTGTCTCCCTCTCTCTCTGCCCCTCCCCCGTTCATGCTCTGTCTCTCTCTGTCCCAAAAATAAATAAACGTTGAAAAAAAAAAAAAGACAGGACACCTCAAGAGAAAACTGGGCAAGGCATATGAATTGGTAATTCATAGAAGACGAAGATTGAACAGCCATAAACAGACACAACGCGTCAATCTCACTGGTAATAGGGAAATGCAAATAAGACCACAGTGGGGAGAAAAGAGAAAGGCATGCCAGAGGCTGAAAATACTTGCAAAACATCTATCCTGTGAAGGACTGGTCTCCAGTGTTGGGGTGTGGGTGGGAGGGGGTTTGTGCTGTGTGAGGCTCCCTTTCCGCAGGGCTTGGTCCAGTAACCTCACCACCCACCTTGCAGTGGTCTGGCGTGCAATGCCTCTCTGGGCTCACAGGAGCAGCACTGCATTTGTTTTTCCAACGCCTCTCGAAGGTCACATCATTCCAGGGACCTGGGCAATGGTGGTAGGCATGGTTAAATGTTGCTAAAAGAGATTGTGCCATTCACGACATTGAGACACCTGGTTCCTATTTAGAGAAAAATAAAGCAGGGTTCCTACCTCATGCCTTATTCCGCCATAAATTCCAGAAGGGTCAAAGATGAAACTGTAAAGGAGAGGAAAATGAAGGTGTGTGTGAAAAGTAATCTTGGCGCGAAGATGTTTCCAAGGAAACAGGAAACCTAGAAACAAAGGGAAAGATAAACCGACTCCATAAAAGTTAAAAAAAAAAAAAAATGGATGTGTAGCAAAACTCAGAGTCAGAAGGTAATGAATATTCTGAAGTCTAAAAAGAGCTCCTGTGGATCTATAGGAACGTGACCCACACTCCAAAAGATAAGGGCACAGTATTAGGTAGCCGAGAGTATTCTATGAGAAGATACTCAGTCTTACTTGTGATGGGGGGGGGGGGGGCGGGCGGTGGTAATGGAATAAAATTGAAACAACATTGAGATTGCTTATCTATCTATCTATCTATCTATCTATCTATCTATCCATCCATCTATCTATCAGACTGGCCACAATGAAAAGTTTGGGAGTGGCCAGGGTTTGGTTGGTTGGTTGGTTTTTAAAGGCATCTTCCCATCTTTTTATGGGAGCCACTGGCACAGTCTCTGGAAGGCTCTTTCAGCATGTACTGAAATTCCAGGTGTATGTATCCTGTGACCCAGCAGTTGACTTTGGAAGATTTATGTCGCAGATGTTGTCACCTGCAAGTGCCAAGACGTGTGCGAGGAAGTGGCATATGAGGTCTGGAATAACTTCAAGGCCCACCCAGAGGCAGTGGTGGCCGCTGAAGAGAATGACATCTACTTGGATGGTTAAGAAATCAACTCCAAGGTAAGGAAAAGAGAGCTCGTACAGGATGGGATGTTGAGAAAGCTCCCGCTTATGTCAGTAAATGTCTATGGCAGACGAAACTGGAAAGATACTTTATTTATTTATTAAAAAAAATTTTTTTTTAACGTTTATTTATTTTTTTGAGACAGAGAGAGACAGAGCATGAACAGGGGAGGGTCAGAGAGAGAGGGAGACACAGAACCTGAAACAGGCTCCAGGCTCTGAGCTGTCAGCAGAGAGACCGACGCGGGGCTCGAACTCACAGACTGTGAGATCACGACCTGAGCTGAGGTCGGACGCTTAGCTGACTGAGCCACCCAGGCACCCCTGGAAAGATACTTTATACTGGTAGCCTCTGGAGAGAGGGTCTGAGGGTCTGGGGTGGGAGAGACTTAGTTTTTACAGTGGGTATTGATCACTTTCCATCCTGTCTGGAATCTCTTTGATTCCTAAATAAGAAGATTCAAGGGGCGCCTGGGTGGCTCAGTCAGTTAAGTGACCGACTTCGGCTCAGGTCATGATCTCAGGGCTCGTGAGTTGAAGCCCTTGCGTTGGGCTCGCCGCTCTCAGCACAGAGCCTGCTTCGAATCCTCTGTCCCCCTTTCTCTCTGCCCCTCCCCTGCTTGCGCTCTCTCAAATATAAATAAAACATTAAAAAAATCATTCTAAAACACCCCAGGATCTCCGATAGCTGGCAGAGTTGGCAGTGGCCCCTGCCTCTTCCCAGTGGGACAAACAGGTGAGGCCGCTTGCCCCAGATCGCCCACGGCAAGTGAGCCCTTCCATCGGAGGCAGAGCCCGGCAAGGGCTAAGCAGGCAGCAGCAAAGCAGATGGGGACACGTGACACGACACATGTGGCAGAGGCCCCGGCAAAGTGTTTCACAAGAGGGAGGCCCGGTTCCCTCAGGGGATCAGGGAGGGCACGGAGAGCAGGGGGCACAGGAGAGTCATCCACGTTGAGCAGAAAATTAAACCTGGGAATTCGGGGCAGAGAAGGCCTTGAGGCCTCCCCGGAAGGGGAGGCAGATGGGGAGGCAGCTGGGTGGGGGGGGAAAGGCTGCAGATCTTGGGGCCCCAGGAACCAGAAGGCAGGTGAGGAGCCTTGGGGTTGGGCATTGGGCCGGTGCCTCACTGATGCTGCCTTGCACCGTTCACCAATTGTTCGGCAGGTTTTAGGTTTTTTACCCCAGCTGGCATCTGAACCACACAATAGTGTTCTGGTCGCGACAGTGCTATTCCTGGTCAACCTGTCAAAACTGTCAAGAAATACACATTTGCTGATGTCTATTCTGAGTGCAGGTTAAGTAGGCTCCATGCCCAGCACAGAGCCCAACTCGGGGCTTGAACTCAGGACTCAGGATCAAGACCTGAGCTGAGATCAAGAGCTGGATGCTTAACCGACTGAGCCACCCAGGTGCCCCTTGAAGGCAGGTTTTCAGGTCTGACCTGAGCTTAGAACCCAGCCTCTCCCAGTGGCCCCGCCTCTCCCAGCCTCAGCTTCCCCAGCTGCCAATGGTGTTTACACAGAAGGTCCCCTCCTGCCTTCTGGCTGGGCTTCAGTTTGGGTGAGCAAATTATTCCAGTTCGCCCCGGACATTCCTGGTTTTAGGACTAAGCGTTCTGTGTCCCAGGAAACCCTCAGTCCTGGGCAGACAGGAGGGCTGGTCACCAAAGTCCACTCGGTTCACAAAACTCCGTTTGCCCAGAGCAGCGGTACTCAGGCAGCTTGGTTTCATGTCCCCCTTACACGCTTACAAATTATCGAAGACCCCAGTCAGCTTGTGGTTATGACGTTTCTACCTGCAAATTTTTACCATTTCAGAAATGTAAATTGAGAAGTTAAATTATTTTTAATGTTTATTTACTTTTGAGAGAGATGGAGACAGAATGCGAGTGGGGAAGGGGCAGAGAGAGAGGGAGACACAGAATCCGAAGCAGGCTCCAGGCTCTGGGCTGTCAGCACAGAGTCCGACGTGGGGCTCGAACTCACAAGCTGTGAGATCATGACCTGAGCCGAAGTTGGATGCTCAACCGACTGAGCCACCCAGGTGCTCCATAAACTGAGAAGTTTAAAAAAATATTTATTTTCTTCTGGCCTAGTAGAATTCAGCTGGATTTTCCCAATTGCTTTTGCATTCAGTTGTGTTTTTTAAAATGTTTATTTATTTTTGAGAGAGAGGGAGAAGAGAGTGGGTGAAGGGCAGAGAGAGAGAGAGACAGAGAATCCCAAGCAGGCTCCGCACCGTCAGCACAGAGCACAACTCAGGGCTCGAACTCACGAACTGTGGGGTCACGCACGCCCTGAGCTGAAACCAAGAGTCGGATGTTTAACCGACTGAGCCCCCCGGGCGCCCCCTGCATTCAGTTCTTGAGATGCATTTTTTTTCTGGTTGAAATCTATGAAGAAAATCTGACCTCACTCAGATACGTAGATGAAAAAGGCAGGAATATTTCCACAGCCTTTTCACATAACGGGTGTTCTTCTTTGATACTGTCCCCATGCACCACCAGTGGTAGTTTCTTAAAGCCGATGGCAGTGTGGACTCTGAGCCACATCACTGTACCCTTGAGGGGTTGACAACAAAGAGGCAGCTCTTGGGATTATTGTGCAAAGACTCGCAGGCCTCTAGACTCCGGGGAGCCCCGGCCACACTGAGAACGCTCTCCAGGGGCCCGCGGGGACTCTAGCCATGTGGTTGTGCTTGCATGTGGGTGGCCGCCGACGAGTGTCCATCGCTGGGTGAGTCTGAAGTGCTCCCTCTGCCAGGCGGCTGTGAGCGTGTGCTCTGTAAACGGTGGGGGCTCCCGTTCCCCATGGCCGGCCGGCTCATCCCAGTTAGAGGCTGCTGACCCGCCCTGACTGCCGGGTCTTTCCGTGTCCACGGAAAGACGTGCCTGTTCCATCCCCTCCTGCGCTGGCACATTCTGGCGACTGGAGGCTCGGTCGTCTCATTTTGGGGGGTTGTTAGGAGGTTCGGCCGCATATAACAAGTTCCCGCTACAGTGCTTGACACGGCCGGGGCCCGTTGGCGGCCTGTTCCCGGGTGGCGCTCACCAGCGTTGGGGTTTGGGAAGCAGCGGGCTGAGCCCACTCTGCTTGCTTCAGAGATGAGGAAACCAGCCCAGAGAGATGGGGCCGGTGGCCCAAGGCTGCCCAGCAAGGCGGTGGTTGAGTCCGTTCTGCTGACTCCCGGCGCAGTGCTCCCTCGGGACGTCCGCCAAGCCCAGCCCTGCAGGCTGTGAGCCGAGCAGGAGCAACCAGCACGCCCAGGTGTCGCAAGAGCCACGTCCAAGTTTAGGTGACAGAAGATGAGGTCATGAGGTTGGGAATCTCTGAACCCCAGCTGACCTCGAGGTCCTCTGCTGGGGGCCCGACGACTTTCCCCTGTCAGGTGCCCCGTTACCGCTACTGCTCCTTCACCATGAGAAATGTGTGACCACGAGCGGGCCTGCTGGGTTGGCTGTGGAGCCATGGCCACCAGCTGGGGCTTCTGGTCGCGACTGTCTAACTAGGGCTCCCACTGCGGGTGGGGGAAACTGGATGCAACAGTTAGGGCATTAGTTTCCCGCTGCCCCGCAACAAATTACCCACGAGGGCAGTGCTTTCAAAGCACAACCCTGTGGCTTCTCACCAGGACTCCCATCAGGGCCCCTCACGGCCTGCAGGCCTCTGGGGGGTGGGGGTGGGGAGGGGGGGGGGAGCCGGCCCAGGCTGCCTGCACACCGCTGTGGCAGGCCTTGGTCTCTCACCCTGTGGGCCTCTCCCCAGGACAGGTCCCCACCGGGCGTTGGCCCATCAGAGCCCAGAGCGAGGGTGGCCGCACCCAGGGCGGAAGCCGAAGGCTCCTTGTAACCTAACCTCAGAGGTGACATTCACCACTTTTCCTGCATTTTGTTTAGAAGTGAGGCACCGGGGCGTTCCACAGGCAGGAGGCTGCCCAGCACACCTGGAAGAGGGATTTGCTTTGTTTTGCAGGAACTAGAATCGTCCATTGGGATTTCTGAAAGCGTGAGTATCACTGGGGCTCAGCCTCACCTTCCACCTCCCTTTCCCTGAATTGCTCTGTCATCAGCATGGGGCCTGGAGGCACAGGGCAGGGACAGGTGGGATGGGCCACTAGGCGGGACAGGAGGGCACCTGCAGCCAGAGAAGAGAGGTGCCTGGGTCCTCAGTTAAGATGGTGTGTGTGTCCCTCTTCAGCCGGACCCTCTGTCCGTCTCTCTCCCGTGTATTTGTGTCCCTTCTGACCACTCCCGGGCATGGGGTGGCGCTCGTTCCCTCTGAATCAGGAGAGGTGGACCGTGTAGTCCAGCCGGGCTGCCTGACAGGACACTGGAGGCCCAGGCCGCACTGTCTTTTGAGGCTCCTTATAAATTAAAACCAAATGACCTCCAAAACAGGCTTCAGGAACTGTGGCACATTGTAAAAGCCCGAATTTAACAAACTGGTATCTTTATATATATATATATACATATTTTTTTTTTAAGTTTATTTCTTTATTTTGAGAGACAGACGCAGCGTGAGGGAGGGGCAGAGAGAGAGAATCCCAAGCAGGCTCCGAGCTGGCAGTGCACAGCCCGACTCAGGGTTCGAGCCCACGAAGCTGTGAGATCATGACCTGAGCTGAAACCAAGAGTCGGACACTAAACTGACTGAGACACCCAGACGCCCCATAAACCGTTGTCTTTAATATTCAGGAGACAGAGGGAAGTGTGACTGTGGTTGAAAACCAGGCCTGATGGAGTTTGCAAAGAACTTTCATGCTCTGGACAGAAGGGGGAAGAGTGTGGTCGAACCCAGGCCACGGGTTCAGAGATTTGTGACAAGTGTCATTTTAGCCCTGCACTTGCCTGTACAGCCTTTTTTAGAGATTACATCAAAAGTCTACATTAGGGCCCTCTGCTCATTTATTTTTGCATTTATATAGCACTTACTATGTGTCAAGCACTGTTGTAAGTGCTTTTCCAAGAGGAACTCAGGGCACCCGGGTGGCTTTCTCGGTTGAGCATCCGACTTCGGCTCAGGTCATGATCTCACACTTCGTGGGTTCGAGCCCCACGTTGGGCTCTGTGCTGACATCTCAGAGCCTGGAGCCTGCTTCCGATTCTGCATTTCCCTCTCTCTCTCTGCCCCTCCCCCACTCATGCTCTGCCTCTCTCACTCTCAAAAATAAATGTAAAAGAATAATAATAAAAGAGGAACTCAAGTGGCTTTGCCCTTTCTCTGGTTTCCATAAAGTGGAAGAATGTCCAGCCGGGACGCATCAGGGTTTGGGAGAGATGCGGGCCACTCCCAGTTAATTTCCAAAATAGAAGATGCCCAAATGGGTATAAACATTTTAATGATCACCATTTCATGGAGGAGGAAACTGAGGCACAGAACGTGAGCATCTGTCCCAGGTCACACGGTGAGTGTGTGCACAGGCCCTGCTGGGCGCCCTGCCCGTCCGGACAGGCCACGCCCTCCATGTGCTCTGCGATGCTCTGGAGAGCCACACTGGGCAGGGGTGCCAGGCTGGGCTGGCAACCCCTTGTGCCACTGGGGTGGACGCTGATGCCCACCCCTCACGCGTGCGTCAGATGGATGTGCTCGCCAGGAATTGGTCCGGGAGCTACCAGAGGCGCCTGGCTGGTACCTGTGGGCGGGCGGTGCCCTAGGCTTTACCCGGTGTTCTCCGGGACCCTGAGCACAGGTTGGCAGGATACCAGGAGGGAGAGGGGAGAGGCCCCAGGAGTGGGGCTCCCAGCACCCCCAGTCGCTGCTCAGCCCGCCTGGCATTTCTGTGCTGAGAGCGTGGGGTCCCCACCCCAGCACGCACCGAATCCACCTATGATCCAGCCCACGATGTGAGAAGAACCTCAGAGTGGACACCCACCGGAGCGAGATGAGAGAAACTGGAGACCCTGTCGGGTAGGGGCCCGCCCCCTCCCTCCCTTTCCTCCCTCTCCCAGGAATTTTCCAGCACAAACCCAGTCTCCAGACCCTCCCCGCCCCCAAGACTCGTGGAGGCCCCAAACGCTCTCAGAGACTGATCCAAGTTGTACACAGGTGTCCACTGCTCCGGAAATGCAGTGTTTTTCACAAGCAGATCAGCTGGAGGTGCGCGTACAGGCAGCGTCCTGGACCGGCGCCCTTGCCCCCAGCGGTGGAGGCTGGGAATCTGCATTGAGTGAAGGGACATGCTCCCCTTTGCAGGAAGGCCTGACGTGGGAACGGCCCCGGGTGGGGGCCCCAGGCCGGCTTGTGAATTTGCCGGATCTGCTGCTTCGGTTCCATCTTCTACGCTCCAGCCCCTCTCGGCCAAGCAAGTACCATTTACTCCAGTACCCCTGGGTCCTCCCCATCCACCGCTCCCCGGGACTAACGCTGCCTTTGGGACCCTGGGGGCCTCCACCTCAGGGCGCAGAAAGATCAGGTCAGTCAAGGGGATTCCAACTTTGAGTAGCCTGGGAGAAGAGCATTTCGAACAAGGTGCCCCTTGGGGGCCCCTGGGTGGCTCAGTCGGTTAAGCGGCTGACTCTTGATTTTGGCTCAGGTCTTGATCTCAAGGCTCGCGAGTTTGAGCCCCGCATCGGGCTCTGTGCTGACAGCTCAGAGCCCTCTTGGGATCTTCTGTCCCCTTCTGCTCTTCCCTAACTCGTTCTCTCTCTCTCAACAAAATAAACATTAAAAAACAAACAAGGTGCCCTTTCCTGACCTTGGGGTAAAGCAGATACCCCCCAAGGGGCACCCCACTTGAAGCCTCCCACCTTGCCCACCCGTGCCCCAGTGGGTCTGGAAGCATGGCCAGCAGGCTGTTCAGGAGCCCACCCTGAGGCGCCCAGGTCTGCAGACGGGCTCTTGCAGGGCATGGGCCGGCCCAGCTTGGGAGACTTGGGCAGGCACAGGGGAGGGAGACCCCGTGGCCAGCAGGTCCCCCTTCCCTTGAGCAGGGGTCTGTTCTGGGGTGGGGGGCAGGTTCGTCTTCCCGGGAGGGGGTACCTCCTCGTGTGGACTGAACGCCCTTTTTCGTTCACCGAAGGTGCTCCTTGGTGTTGTGCCCTCCAGAGCACAGATGATCAGTATGCTTTTAATTAAAACTCAGACTGCTTCAAGATGACTGTGTGGTCCCCTGGGTCATTTTCTTCTTTCTGCCAACAAGTTTCTTAAAGTATCTTGTGCTGGGCATCACGTGGGCCCTTGGGGAGCCATCTGATCCTCTGAATTTCCCAGGTCAAGGGCCTCTTGAGAGGTTGGGCTTTCTTTTTTTCTCTTTTTTAATATTTATCTGAGAGAGAGAGCAAGCAGGGGAGGGGCAGAGAGAGAAAGAATCCCAAGCAGGCTCAGCACAGAGCATGACGCTGGCTCGAACCCACGAACTGTGAGATCATGACCTGAGCTGAGACGGACACTCAATCGACTGAGCCCCTCAGTCTCCCTGGTCGGGCTTCTTTATTGAGCCTTATTCAGGACACCCCGCCCCTCTCTCAGAGGCTGTAACCCTATCAGACACATTCTGGCAGTCATGTGTTGAATGAGTGTCTTTTAGTGTGCAATCTGCATGACATTCAGGGGCAGTGGCCTGGCTTCTAAAGTCAAAACCCCTCAACCTTGGGCACTCTTGCCCCAAATGCCCACTTCTGTGGCATACAGTAGTTGTTCGATAAATGCATGAAAGGTAACTTTTCCTGGGCGCCTGGGTGCCTCAGTTGGTTGAGCGTCCACCTTTGGCTCAGGTCATGATCTCATGGTTCGAGCCCCACATCAGGCTTTCTGCTGCCAGTACGGGACTCACTTCGGATCCTGTCTCTTTCTCTCTCTGCTCCTCCCCTGGTCTCTCTCTCAAAAATGAATAAACATTAAACAAATAATAAAAATAAAAAAAATTAAAAAAAAGAAAGGTAAGTTTTCCTTCTGCTGGAAATGCCACCCAGGAGATGACCCAGAGAGATCTGAGTAGTAACTCTCCATGCATCACTTGGTGCCTGTGTGTGACATTCACTTGTGTCCCACACTGGGAATGGAGAAAAGAGACCTCCTTAGAGGTGCCCTCGAGCTGCCCTAAGAGGGAGGACACTGCCCAGAGATCTTGACCGGGATCTTCGGCCCAAGACAGGAGACTCCAGCCACCAAGGTCGAGCAAAGAGCTTTTTATTCCAGAGCACGAGGTGGAAGCTTGCGCCCAGCCTCCCTCCCCGTGGTCCTCGTCATGTGGTCATGTGTGGACAAGTTACGATCCCGTTAGTTTGAGGCAAGCACAGCGTTATGCTGTCGACAGCCGCCACGGAGGGCAGGCCGCCTGTCAGTGGTGTGGGGGAGCTCAGGGTCGGATGCGTCTGCGCCCCCAGAACCGGCTCTGCCGTGGCCGAGGGCCAGCACGAGAGGAGCTCGCGCGTTGGGGAGGCCAGTCTGACCGCAGGTGACATGTCTCCCACAGCCAGAGACAGAACTGGCTTTGGGGTTGCCGGGTGCCTCTGCTTTCAGGCCAATGGCCCCGAGCAGGCGCTTCAACACCCCTCTGAGCATGGGCCTGCCAGCAGCGACCAGGGAACCTTCTTCCCTTATTCTAACTGCCCTCCGGGGGTGATGCCGCAGTGTGGAGTCTTTGGTATGCAGTCTGCCTGCCTTCCGGGCTAGGACAGCAAATGGCAGGCCTCTTGCGATCTTAGAACGGCTCTCCCAAAGTGGCAAGTGGCCATGGCCTGTCCAGAGTGCGAGGTAACGGCCTTCGGAGCTGACCAGGGCTCCTGACGTCGTCATTAATAAATATTAAAGCTGATGTGGACCAAGAGGATAGGGCCACAGCCTGGGTGTGGGAGGTCCGGGCCTTTCCGGTTGCTCTGTCACTGCGAGAGCCCTGCCATCACCCCCCTCACGGGACGTCTTCCAAGGGCTCTGAGCTGAGATTAAGACAGGTGGCTATGTGAACACCAGCCCCTCTGAGCAGTTAGCCTTGGGGCCTGGTGGGTCATTAACTGCAGACAGGGGGTCTCTCTGTGACAAGAGTCACTGCCCTTCACAGTTGCTACCTGAGAACTAGGCCGCTGCCTGGCCCTCCTCTTTCCTACGGTTCCCACAAGCTTCCTTCCTAAGCGACCTGGGCTGTGCCTCCAAACTCTGACCTTCTTCCCCACTTAAGTGGAGCTATAGGCCCTCTGGGGGGGCGGGGGGGGGGCTCCAGCTCTTCTGCCTGGAGCCCCGGACAGAGACCTGGCACGGGCAGGCTGTGCCTCGGTGCCTGAGCCCTCCTCCCATGCTGGTGCCCGCTGACCCTGGGATGATGGGCCAGAGAGAACCAAGGTTTACTTAGGGGAGGTGGGGTGGTGAATCCATTCTTAACACCAGACTGAGACCTGAACCCTTCGGTAGGACTTTGTGTGGAAGACGCCTCTTCGGCACCTGTTGGAACGGGGTCTCAGAGCCCCAGAACCCCTGCCAAGGCCTTCAGTGATGGCCACGGACACTTCAGGCTTCACACGGAGTGGCCGGGGTCCAGGCTCATCCTGGCAAAGTGCGGCGTGTGTGTGTGCGCGCGTGTGTGCGTGTGCTCGTGAATCTGTCTGTGCGTCTGTCTGGTCTTCCCGGTCCATCCATCTGCAGGCCCTGGCCACCACCCACCCTTCAGAGAGACAAGTTGGACCCTATCTTAGGAGACCTGGCCTAAAACACAGGGGCCAGATTTCTGGTCAGTTCTGCACAACTGGGTTGTTAGACTCCCTCCAGAGGGAAAGTTAATTAAGCTCTCAAGGGGGGCGGTCAGAGAGTCCCCAGCAGCTCTGAATAGGTCCTCTCCCCCGTCCCTGTCTGTGAATGGACAGACCTGTAGCCACAAGGCAGGATGGCTCCAAGCCGCCCGGCTCCGTGACGATTCTAGCATCTTTGGGATGGAAAGGGAGCTGAGTTTTGGTGCCACTGTCCCGACACAGTTACGGTCAGAACCCACGTTTCCAACCCCGGGCACGTGTCGCACGTACGTGTGTGTGCGCAGCCCAGTATGGGGCATGGGGCCCTCCTCAGACCCAGCCTGGCCCGTGCCAGCTGCTGTGGCAGCCCTGCCCTTCTTCTGTGTAGACAGGCTCAGGGAAGCCTTTCTGGGAGCAGCTGGGCCTCTGCAAACTTTCGAGGCTGGTCTCTCCTGGTGTCAGTGTCTACCCCAGGCCCCGAGGCCAGCCCTGCCCTGTCCCGTCATAACATCATGGCCTTAGTTCTCAAAAGTCAGGAGCCGGGGCGCCAACCTTCCCAAGAGGAGACAGACATCCCAGGAAAATCCAAAGGCAAGTTCCTCCCTGCCCCTGGGCTGCCCAGTTTAGAGCGTCCTTTGCTGGCCGGGCCGTGCCGGTCACAAAGGACCCTCTGGAAGAACAGACAATCCCGCTCTGGGCACTCTTCTTAGATGGACCCCGAGAGTCTCTCGTCCCCCCGTGACCCCCAGCCACCCCCCCCCCGGCCTGGGGAGATAGGAGGGGGCACAGGGGCTGGCGATGACAGCGAGGGGTCCACAGGGAGCGGTGGGGTGCAGGGGTGCAGGGTGGCGCATCATGACACGCCGTGGCCATGACACCCGCAGCCGGGGGCGCCAGCGGCTTCTCAGTGTCCAGCCCTCCCTCCACGGCAGCTTCACTCATCTATCACCTCCACAGAGTCCTCATCCTTCCTCTCCTCCGACTGCTCCTCTGTCGTCTCCGTGTTGCCCATGTCGGACAGCGAGGCCACCTGCCGCACCCAGTCCCTGTCACTGAGAGGCTCTGGGTCGCACGGTCGGGAGAAGGGGTTGAACCAGTTCGGGGAGAAGTCCCCACCAAAGGTCTCCTTTACCGACTTCCAGCTGGCCCTGCGCTCCCTGGGCTGGTGCTTTCGTTTGAGGCGCTCGATGCCCTGGAGGGACAACGGGACAAAGAGGGTCAGCGTGGTGCGGGCCTTGCGCCCTCAAGCTCACCCCCAGCCCCGGCACGGCAGAGCACGGAGGCCCAGGGCGTGGGCGAGGGGGCCGGCGGGACACGGACTGCCGGGGCCAGGTCAGGGCTGTGGGGCCCTAGGGGCCGATGGGATGCGGGCGGAGAGCAGTGGAGAGCGGCACAGCAAGCAGGGCCTTCCTGGGGAGCTGGCCCCTGTCCCCCCCACCCCAGGCCTCTGTCCTTTCCTCCCACAGGTGCTGGGGGGCTGCCCAGCCTCCTTAAGTCAGTCCAGGCTGCCCAGGGGCCCAGGGCCAAGGAGTGACGTCGCATCTGCCCTGAGAGCCCTAGAAAGACGACTCCTCCCTGGGGATTCTGGGCCGCGCCCCACCCCCCCCAGCAGATGCAGCCGACTTAGCACGAAGAAGGGATGCAGGCGGAAAGGGCAGAGCACAGGTACACACAACGCTGGGGCTGAGGAAGCGGGAGTGTGCATAGCTAATGCCAACATGCGGCGGGCAGCCGGGGGCACACGGGGCCGCCATGGGGAGGCCCGGGCCGGCGTCGGGCCCCAGTCATGCGCAGACACGCCCTGCCGCTGCTCCCAAGCTGCCCACTCACCTGCCTCTGGGCGTCGGTGGCGACTCAGCTGCCAGGCCACAGAAAGAGGGTGTCGGGTAGGGGGGAAAGC